GACATATTTTTTGTCATTGGTCAAATTCTGGTGTATCGAAAGCAGCAAGCAGTTCCAGAGACACCTGCACATTCACCAGGATAGGCTCAGTGGAGCAGGTGTTCTTCATCACTAGGAAATTTTGGCCATGAGAGCTCACTTCAGAGGTGATCACTTCTAAGTCTACAGTGAACTGTGAACTGGCTACTTTACGTAAGGGAAAGGAGACCACCCTCCAAGTCTTTCTTTCCTCCAAAGCTGGCAGCAGTTAAGCAGCCATTTCCTTGGCTTTTTGACACAGGGACTGGCGTGGTTGTTCTGCTTCTAATGCAACTGGTATAATAAAGAAGGATACCCATAATGCAAACCTGTATAGACAGGATAGGGCATAGTCAGCAGAACTTCCCAAATAAAAAGTTTTGGGCAGTCTTGTGCTCATTCCCAAGCGTGTCTGTGCTATGAGCTGTTTTAAAGGCATCTCAAGTTTTATTATGCCTAACCTGCAGAAGGCCTCTTCCTGGCAATGACTCTTGGTGCCAGATCCACCAGGAAGCATAGTCTTTTCAGAACTGTTTAGAATTCACAAGACTTAGTTTTGTTTACTGAAAGTACAGCCTCATTCTCAGCTGCTTTAAATTTGCCATTTGCTGCAGAATTTCTTAAAAGGGTGGAGCCAAGAGAGCAAAAACTCAAACTCATGAGATATTGTAGGAGTCGTTGATCTCAAAATCCTTCTGCTACAAACCCAGTGGTACCATAGCAATGACAATGTTTTGTTCTTTAGGAGACCTGTGAATACTGGGTGTGATTAGGGCTATTGCCCATCTGTGAGATGTAATATTATGGGCTTAACACCAAGCACAGGAAAGTCTTATGACCACCAATAGATTTTAGATTAGGCTACGTATGTGCAGGCAGCTCATCCTGAACAGATAAAAGGCAACACAGTTTTCTAAAAATGGGATGAAATTAAGGGTAACTGTAACAGGATATGGATCTGCAAAGGGAAGTGAAATGAGCATGAAATCGCAGGAAGCTTATTCAAATTTTGTCGTATGTTAGTAATGAAAACATTCTAGTCTACTGCAAATATGCAAATATAGTCATTGGCATGGAGTTAATACCTTAAAAATATTAAATTCTTTAAAATAATTTTTGTTCTATGTTCTGACCATTTGTGTTTGCTGTCTTCAAATATTTTAGCAAACACACTTGGTTGTAGAAGTATTAATATTTTAACCAGATATTGGAGAATATGTGCTAAAAATGTATGCTTAGATAAGAATAAGGATATGGATAAGAATAAGGTTAAGAATAAGAATGCATATGTTTGGTCTAGAAACGAAGCCATGGAAGTTGTGCTAAGTCTGACCAAAGAACACAAGCAGTGGTGGGCGGTAAACACCTCTAGTGGCAGCAGGCAAAAATAGTTTGAATTTTGACTGTTATATACTTCCATCAAGATTTTTCCTAGATGGCTGATTATCATAAAAAATTATTGTTACCAAACAATTCAGATACATTGGAAGAAGCAGCAGTTTGTTTCTTACCACGCAGAGCGACTGCGTGGGAAACCACGGGTCCCTACGGCGTAGTTGGCTTCGGTCAGCACCGGAGAGGTGAAACATGACGGCACATTCGTGTAGGGAACGCTGCAGCCGCTCGCCGTGGCCCATGAGGGTCCTTGCCGCCGGCACGGCACGGCACGGCACGGCACGGCACGGCACGGCACGGCACGGCACGGCACGGCACGGCACGGCAGGACCGGGCTGGGCCCGCGGCTCCATGCAAGGCGAGCAGCGGCCCCGGCGTTCCCCCGGGCTCGGCCTCGCCCCCGCCGGCCGAGGCCGCTCCGGGCGGGCGCCGCCCGCGGCCGCCGCGTTGCCGGGATACGGGGCCGCGGCGGGGCGGTGGCGGGGGTCCGCGGCGGCCCCGAACTGTGTCCCTCAGCCAGGGACCCCCAGCCAGTGTCCCCCTGCAGCGTCCCCCCGCCCAGCCCGGAACGCGCCTGACCGCCGCCCCCTCCGCGGCACGGCAAGGTGCGGGGCTTTTGGCTAGAACGTCAAGTGATGGGAAGCAGACCGAGGAACGCGTCCACAACTCCCTCATCCCCCCTGCTGGAACCTTGCAGAAAGAAAAATAAATGAATTTTGAATCCCATTGTGCCTACTCAGTCCCTGAAACACCCGGGAAAACAAGCAGGGAGCGAGAGGCAGGCGCTGGTCCGTGGGCGCAGCAGGCCACTGCCTGCTCCGCTGGCCCGCAAACAAACAGCGATGGCATCGGCGAAGGGTGAGCCAAGTGTCGCCGGCCTGCAGAGAAGCTGTGCCACTGAAAATCCACGAACCACTTTGTTTTTAAACTGCTACATGGAAGGAAACGAGATGCTGAGCTTGGCAGTAAATGACCCTGGAAAATGTGATTGTGCTTCTCTTTTGATGGGGCTGTTATAAATATTCGTAATATTGCAATTTTGGAAAAAGTGGTTGTTTCGGCATGTGGTTTGGAATCGAAAACTAACTTCCAGGCGGTTCTCTGCATGGACAAAACTGGAGTCAGGTTACTGCTCTGCTGCAGAATGTGCTTTTGTTCCTGAAGAAAGCACTACACTGCAAAGTTTTCAGGAGGTTCACAATGTGGTTGGAGTATTAATTAAAGAGAAGTGCCTAGGTAATTGATGGTGGATTTCACTGAATGAGCCAAAGGAAATGAAGCACGGGGTTTCACCATCAATGGCAAAATATTGCCATGGCAATGGGTAGCTTTGCCAGGAATAAACAAACAAACAACAACAGGCCTCTTTCAGAAAAAAAGAGAATTTTTTGTTCTCACCTCACCATGTCTGTGCCATTGAACATCTTGGAGGGGAGAAGATGGTGTAGCCTACTTACACAAGTCCTACAAATCCAGCTTCCTTCTCAGTAGGTACAAGTAGATGATTTCCAGAGCAAGAAGTCACCTTTATACTGGGGGATAAAAAGGCATCAAGATTTGCTTAATAATGATTTCAGTGCCTTGGCTACTGCAAATTCTGTTCCATTTTCTTGCAGAAGGTGGATGGGCTCAGAAATAACCCAGGTTTCTGTTACCCTTAGCTGGTGCTGATTCAGGGAGAGACTGCTGACAGGGAAGGTTTTCCTAAGAGCAAAAACATGGGCCCACACTTAAATTAATAAAGACCTTTACAAAAACACAACTAAGAGAGCAAGGGAGCTAAGAAAGCAGGAGCTGCCCTTTCTTCCACAGGCTCAGATGCCTGGGGGGAAGCGTGCCCATGCACAGGCAGTGCTGTCCTCTCCCAGCAGGGCCTTTGAAGGTGGCCATCTGCCTCTGAAAGCTTTCTGCACATTTCTGCCTGCACCCAGTCCCTCAGAGGATGCTGGTGTGAGCTCTGGGTGTCTCCCCTGGTCCCAGGGAGATGCACCTCAGCCACCACCCAGTGAAAGATTCAGCAGTGCTGCAGTCCTGCCTTGTATCCATAGACTGAATTTCTTGCAGTTTTGCAGGCTGCTGTTCTGCCCATAGCGTATCAAATCCCTGGTGAGCAGCTGGATATGCACTAAGGCCTTGCTGGGATTGTTCCTGGGGAAGATAGACATGGGGGAAGATAGACATGGCCTGATGTTGATCTTGTGATTTTGTGGCTTGTAGAGCAGGAGCAATGGGCCAGAGCCAGGTGGCCATGGGAAATCAAAGGAGGGATAACCAGAAGTCAAAGGAGATGTCTTCATCAGGAGATCAGGTGTCTCCTGCTGAGGAGACAGCATCCATGTGAAGGAGCTAATAATTAGCCTGACTGTATTAAATGTCTGTACCACTGGTTTGACCCCAGTAGTGTTTGTGAGCTGTCTAATGTCAACAGTACAGCAGGGAAATATTAACACCTGTTAAAGTTTGCAGAACTCATATATACTATATTGAACAAAAAATCTTCCTGTATGGCTTCCCAGCCATTTGGCATTTATTAGTTTTGACTTACCATTCTTAATAAAGTAATACTTAGGTGCTGCTTAAGTTTCCTATAAAATATTTAATGTACTTTACTGTAAAGTCTTCAGGATGAGGACTGCATCTGACAGAGCACTCATACCACACCTAGCACTCATTTTGACTGCAGCCTCCAGGCAGTATTGTAAAGGTTCATTATTACCACCAAGATCTGGCCTTATCTTGTCACTCTTCAAAGACAGTCCATTCTTAACTACGGGTTTAACACAGCTGATATTTAAATGACAATTTTCTTTTTTTTCCCATCTTAAATGATCAAACCAGATCCAAGAAAATACATTTTTAAACTTGAACTTTAAATTAATGTTGTCCGTGTAGAGCTGTGCTTGAGCGATCTATGCCTTTATTTAACCAGCTCAGAAAACATTCAGCAAATAAGAAGCATTCTTTTTCTGAGAGGGAAAAAAAAACAAAAAACAAAAAAACCACACACACACAAAAAAAAAACCACACAGAAAAAAAAAGGAAAAAAAAGCTCTGTATTTGGGGTCTATTTTGCATGAGAAAATATTTTGTTTAGGAATGACAGTCAAAGACATTCTCTCATACATTGTAATATTTTCCATGTGTGGCAGCTTGTTTTTCAGTGGTACAAATATTTGCAATAAAGGCCGAGGATAAAAATTAATCTAACAGTTTTTGCAGCAATGCTTTTGATGGTTTCATTCGATTTCATTTTCCTGTGGATACTGCCATCAGTTCTGCTGCTTGCAGCATGTGAAGCATAATTCTGAAAGGTTCATGAGGTTGTAGGGATCCAGTAAGAGATGACTGATTTCTCCCCCCACACACATACACTCCACCCCACACCCACTCACCCACCCACCAGCAAAACATAATGCTGTACTATTTTTGGAAACAGGGAAAGGGCCTCCCTGTGAAAACAGAAAGCAGTGTATTTCTCAGTTACATCACTTTGCAATCTAATGCTGTGTTGTGCTCAGTGTTTTTGTGGTGATGCAAGTCTTTTTTTTTTTCTTTCCTTTTTTTTTTTTTTTTTTTTCTCCCTTCAGCCGGTTGGATTTTCCCCATCTTACAGCACCTCGCAGGTCTCTTCTCTGAGCAGTACGTTGCCTGAGTGAGTGGAAACATACAGATCAGCTGCAGGTTTCTATCTACAAAAACAGAGTGAAAGAGAAAGAAAAGGGTTGGGAAAGCAGAGACAAATATTGACCTGGACTTAGAGAAAGACATCCAATGGCTGAATAAAGAACCCTGTTCATGTTTTGGGATATTCTTTCAACTGGCTGGAACAAGAGCGGATCAAAAGAATGGGAAATGCCAGCAGACCCTTTAGAAGAATTGCTTATTTCTTATGCCTTTTATCTGTGCTTTTGCTGACTGAAGGGAAGAAACCAGTGAAGCCAAAATGTCCTGCCTGGTGTACTTGTACCAAAGATAATGCTTTATGTGAAAATGCCAGATCTATTCCTCGCAGCGTTCCGCCTGATGTTATCTCACTGTAAGGGCTGTAAGCATTTGGTTATTTAATTTATGATTTAAAATGAACTAGGATGTGTGGTGTTTTCAGTGCATACAGAAGGATGCTTGCTGCAGGGAGTACCTCCAGCATCATCAGCTAATGTGTTAAAATTGTGCTGCATCCTTGAATCCTGATTTTTGTATCTCTTTCATCTATCTGTCTGTCTGTCTGTGTATGTGCACACATCTCATTTTATACCTTCTTGTATAGTACATGAAACCTGTCACATTATATTCGGGGGGGAAGGTAATTTTTTTTTACTTATATAAATACATTTCTCTGTGATGACCAGATCAGTATTATAACCATAGATATATGAGGCTACATTAATGTATGGTTGTTTTTTTCTTCTTTACAGATCCTTTGTGAGATCTGCTTTTACTAAAATCCCAGAAGGGAGTTTTTTGCTCACACCATCTCTGCAGCTTCTGTGAGAAATATTTATATTATACAATTTTTGTTATGAAATGTATATGGATTCATAAATATTTCAGAAAGGGTCTTATTATTAATTGTATAAGAAACAGCAGCAGCAGTTTTATTAGATCATAAAATACAAGACTTTTTAGCAATTTGAAAGATGCATGTTTAATTTTTACTTAGTATTTTGCAAGGCTGTTATCCGTACTACTTTGAATGCTTACATGCTGAAGCTTTTGGTGACAGAATGCATGTTATCTTCATTATACTTTAATTAACATTACATTAAGGACTTAAGTATTGCAACAACTATTCTTGTTTATTTTCTGCATTCCTGGGACCTGATTCCAGTATAAAGCGGTCCATTTGCAACTCCCATTTGCAGCTGTGAGCTCAGAACCCCTCGGATCAGGCCCATCATTGCAGTGGGACAGGTCCTGAAGTCCTTTTCCATGTAAAATTGCCATTGACTTCTGTGGAAGTTTAGTCACTTCAGTGGGAGTTTTGCCTTCATAGTACCTGGATTTGACCCTGTTTTTTATTTCATGTTCTTAAAAGTAATGACGATTTGATGATTTTCTTCCAATTAAAGACTGAAGGAGTTATTTCAAAATCAAATACTGTGATGAGGTATACACAGAAAGAGAAAATTTTGGGATGTTTAACTCTTAGCTGCATTTCAACATAGGATTTTTACAGGCTCACAGGCTTTCCTAGAAATGTGGGCATACGATTATATAATTGTGAGCTATACAGAGGTAGAGGGGGTGTAACCTGAACTGTTTATAGTGGATATGCTGCCAGCCTGACACACACCCAGATTTGTCTCAGGAATCCGGCAAGGCAGACTCCCCAGTGTGATCAAAACCAAAATCGGATGTCTGTCCCAAACCCACTTCCCGTGCACTCTGGATGTGGTCAGAGGTGTAATATTGATGTACTGGAGCTCTCTGGCTGTTAAATTAAACTGGTGGCATACTGATAGCTGAAGCCCTGACCCTGGCTGTACTCTGCTACCTCAAGTGGAGCTGATAAGGAGGTGCAGACATACTGTACAATTTTGGATACAGGGTAAATAGGTAAATGCAGTTACTATGGAAACCCAAATGCTTTTCCATGGTGCTTTATTCCATGGAAAAAGAGAAGCTTTTTCCAGGTGGTCATAGATCACAAAAGGGACATATTTCACGTAATTCCTGCAAAGGGCCTTTCAAAAGAGAGGGGGGAAAAAGCAGCAGCACTGGTGGGGCTTGTATCTGAAGAGAGTGAGTAGGACATTATCTCTCTTGGCTACGATACACCACCTACACTTAGCAATCCCACTGCAAAGCAGGCAGAACTGGGCATGGTAGAGTAGGACAGACACAGTCATCTTATTTTGAGTTATTATAGTGCCTGGCACAGTGGGTTTGGGCAACGTCATATGGCATTTTGATAATGATAATAATTTCCATTTCTACTGTACAATGAAATGCACGTTCTACACTGCTTTTTATAAATGCTGCAACAAAAACTATGACCCTAGAAAAGCAGGGTTTGTTCCACTGTGGGCTTTGATGAGTGATCTGTTTTCCAGATATATTTTTAACATGGTAGTTGAGCTGCTTGCCATTCTTGGAATGTCAGGCTGCTGATCTAAGGCAAATAATAACTCCTTAAACATAGACCATAGAAGCAGGATTGTATCTATGGGGACAACACTCCAGTTTGTACGTGGGAAAGAAAAATTTTCATCTTTGGCAGAAGATAGTAAGGGAAATAAGAATACGGAAAACTTACGTTAATTAAACATTACAGGAAGTTTTAGCTTTGAGTGATTATAGCTGTATTCGTAGGTTTAATTTAGCCAACAGCAAGATTATATATATTTCTATAATAATAGTAATACATATAGAAATACTCTCCAGCATTATGTTTTTGAAGTCCAAATGTGATTGGATATCTCCAATACACCAGACACAGATTTCTGAATATGTTGTAATTCTGCCACCATTATTATTTACTACTATTTTTAATATAGTAGCACCAGTGGTCTCTGGAAAAATCATGGTCTTGAGCTAAACACTACTCATAACTCCCAGTCCAGGAGAGCTTTTCTTCTTATGTAGTATGGACGGTATGCTCTGTGCTCTTCATGTGACAACAAAAATACAAAGAACCTCCACAGCTATGGTGAAGTGTCAGCAGGAGTGTTCCCTAAATGTAGAGAAAGCCTTCCAGCTCTCATCTTCAGCACTTTTATCTCTGTGTATCAGCAACGTGCTGAGGGTGCCGTTATAAACTGATGCTATGAAAGCCCACAGAAAGAAGGGAGGCAATCATGGCATCAGGATTTGTATCTGCTAGCACTGTACTGCTCCTGCCAAATGATGCAGTCCCTAGCTACAGCACCATACCTTCAGCCTCTATCACCAGAAGCAGCAACTATGGTGTTTGAGGACAAATTTGGGGAAGAAACACTTTGTGCATGAAATACATCTGATATAGCCATTGGGGAGAGGTATGAGTTGGAAGGCAAATGAGCTCACCAAGTACAAGACCTATGCTGTAAGCCTGGCAATCTCTAAAATAGCAACACTATTTAAAGAGAGACCACTCTGTTCTCTAAATTATAGAGTGCAGAAAGGGAAAAATTATCCAATAAAATCACATCAGAAAAGTAAAATTAGTTGCAGGATTTAATAAATTTGTCTTCTGGTTCAAGAATTCTATAGAAATACTTGTTTTCTCTAAAATTGGAGTGTTTCTTGATTTTGCCAAAAAGGAAGAATTTCCTGCTTGTATTTTTTCATACACTCCATATAAGAACATACTTAAAAAGCACAATCTGCAACAGCCAACTGAGAAAATAAATTACCTGCAATTTATTCTGCATGTAAATGTCAAAATAAGAGATTAACTTATTAAGTGGATTAATTAGTACTTGGAAATCTTGCATTCCTGATTGTCTAAGGATGCCATAGTATGAATCTATTTATCCATCAGGTCAATTGATTAAAATATAGATGTACATGTAGTATTCCACTGGGGTAAAGTTCATCGTACTTTATGATGTCTCACCACATTAAAAGTGTGGCAGTCCAGGGCTAGATTATAATGGACAAATGCAAACATGGCTGATAAGCATAAATAAAGCTGGAAAAATCAATGCTAGTCCACTTTTAATGCTTACAAAATTGCATAAAACTAAATGTGTTGCTGGTATTTTTACTGTTAGATGCATATGCTAAGAGTATTTCCAAGAGGTATAATGAAGTCTTAAAATTAATTCTGACTTGAACACTGACTGAATTGAAGAGATTTTTCTTTTTTTTCCCCAGTAGCTTTCTACCCTTGGGTTAAATACACTCAGAAGTTTAACTTGAAAGTTAAAGGGTTTTCCTTCCTGCCAGTGTTGCAAATTCAACCTGATATCTGGCTGACCAGCAATTTAAACCAAGACATTTTAAACCTCTGTAGTACTTGAAGATTTCCCTGTTGTCCTAATATATCTCCTGAGGCACTTGTACAATCCCATTGTTTTACTGGCATGATAAACCCACATTTATATCCCACAGAAGTCAAAGGAATTTTGTCAGATGGTCCCAGTAGACAATTGTTGAATCCTTCCCTTTGCACCACACTATGGTGCAATATATCAACCTTACAGTTCTATAGTGCTTGCACAGAAAAAACATGAAACCAGGCAGTGGAAATTTGTCCTACCATGGCTTGCTGCACCATTTTCTAAAGCTGCTGATAACCTAATGGTCTCTTGTTTTGCATTTCTTTGTGCAGGTTGTTTACGTCCAACACTTTTGATGTTATTAGTGATGATGCTTTCATGGGCCTTTCTCGTCTAGAATATTTGTGAGTGGACAAAAGTATATTTCCTGGCATTATTGAATAGAGTGGGTGGGCTTCCAAGTTCCAGGCATGGCTTTGACCAGAATCACTTTACGACCCATTACAGGTTCATAGAGAACAACAACATTAAGTCAATTTCAAGAAATACTTTCAGAGGACTGAAATCTTTAATTCACTTGTAAGTAAAGTGATTGAATATATTACTTGGTATATTTAATACAGTAACTGAACCACTGTGTTGTTTAATTTCTCATTTTCGTATATAAGTGTTCATAGTTATATAAGTGGCATTAATAGTAATTTAATTAGAATGTTAATCTTTGTATTTCCACCAAAGATTTCCAAACTGTGGTATGTTTAGAAGACAAATACACAAACAGCTTCCAAGCAGTACATGTTTGGCAGTAGTTCCCTGACTTTCTCTGCTTGGAGCACAGGGGATTTCCAGCTGAGCATGTAGGAGCAGGAAGGAGTATGAACTGGGAATCTTGGCATTGATGAGGTGAGTCCCAGTTTGGGACTTGGAAAGGAAAGAAGTTGGGAGCTGTGGCTAGGAATGTGAGAGGCTGAGGGATGGACTCACACCTCTTCCCAGGTACCCCAGTCTGACATGGATCCAGCAGAACATGACAGCCATTCCTGGGACAGGCCATCACTGTGCCCATGTTCACTTAAGACAGTAACAGTATACAGAAGAATATGACTAAATCAAACTTGAAAATTCCCACCCAGAGCAATTTTAAATGGAAAACTTGCAACAAGATGTATTTTTTATGGCTTATTGATCTACTTCTTCCATTCTGCACCTACCCTCCTCTGCACCCTCTCCTGCATGCAAGCAGGAGCTTTCCACAGTCAGGATCTGTCACACACTGACTCTGGGATTGGCTTACCATTCCTTGTGTGCTGCTCAGCCCTTTGGCTATCTTGTAAATATGGCCAGCTCTTGTCCTCTGACCTGCTGCAGCCCTTTGCTGCATTAGTTGGGAAGGGAAATTAGTCCAAGGCACTCTGGATGCCAGTGTGCTGTAGGAGCAACACTCCCTATGGCCTCACCAGCAGGAGCCTTTCTCACACTGTGCTCAGCAGGTGAGACACACACTGGCAACAAACACCTGCAACACTTCACTGCAAACAAGAGTAGCTTCCTTGTCTCTGAGCTAGGGAGACAGTTTTTATATAGGCTTTTGTTTCTTATCTTACAGCAAGTTTATCTTTTAGCAATAATTTAATGAAGAATAAATTCTTTAAAAACAAAATACACACTATAGGAAAAAAGAAAAAACATAAAAGAAGAAAATGAAAAAAATGAGGCTAAAACATCTGTAGGGTGGCTGACATGGGTTTATACCCAGTTCTGAGCATCTGCATTCTCAAGCATGTCATGTGGTGCGTGTCATAGGCAGGGGAGTGGATCCTGACCTTTTGGCCTTAACATGATAACCTCCAAGAGGGTTTTGAAACAGGGTCATTTAACTTTATCATTCATATATTTGGACAGAAGAGAGAAAACAAAGGTTCCATTTTGAACAGTTAATGCATAAATATAATAGTTGAATTGCAATTCACCACATCTTCACCACCTAGTAAAGTACCATAAAACACTTTTTGCTTTCCCTTTTCGTCAGAACAAGATTTACAGCTGGCTGAAACCAAACCTACTGTGACTACTCGTGTAGATAAAGTTACTTCTGGAATGGCTCTAGGTCTGAGGAAGAGAAAGAGAGAGGAAAGGGAAAGAGGTACATAAAAAGGCTGTGCACATTCCGTAACAATCCATATTAGAGATTTAGGCAGAATTGTACAGTTGTTAGGAAAAAAGATAGCTGGATAATAACTGGGACCCTATCTTCAAAATATTTACACACATGAATAGCCTTATATTCACAAATGGGTCCAGTACATTATTTATCATATTCATTTACTTATTTAGTAGCTGCTCCTGCCAGTGAACAAATTGCTTTTCTAAAACAGAGGAAGGCACAGTTTCTTTTCCACAGAGCACACAGTCCAAGGCTAATATCTTGTCTTGGCTGTTACATTGGTTTCTGGGGATGCCTCAAGAGTTTCACAAAAGAAAACATATGCAAAAGACAGAACCACATTTGAGGAGCAACATTTGCATGCACATTTTTGGGACAGATCTGTGCATCATGCCACACATTTGTCCATGGAGCACTGTTCACAAAGACAATGAGAAATTTGTGAAAAATAACTGCAAAGGCACCATTAGTTTAATCTGCTTGTAGAACCACTCCCCATCTTTTGGGGAAGATTGTGCATACACATTAAGAATGATCATTTGGCACCCTGAGGCACTTTTCATTTAAGAAACAAGAGAGTACTTGTGTATATAAAATATATTAAAAAGAATCATAGTAAATGAGCATGCAAATAGGTTCTATGAAGTTAGATAAGATGAACTTGGTTCTATTTATTCTATTTACTTCCTTTTCGCAACATAAATTTTGGAATGCAGTAAGCTATCCAAACATTTTTTACTTTATAATGCAATTAACTTCAATAATTATAGTGTGTTCTTATTGTAAAAGAGAGCCATCTAGAATTTATTATTTTGCAACAGGATTTATTTTCTGGTTGGAGTACATTTAAGAACAGGAAAACTTTTTAAAGATTGCAGTTTATTTACTAATTTAATGTCAAAATCTTACAGTTAGCATTGGACAGTAATTTCTATGCACAGTACATAATTTTGATTGCATTTCTCTCAGAACTGTCACTGTTAGGTTAACTGCATGTTTGAGTCAACCTTTACTCTCTTACTATAATCCAAATACCACGTATAGCACCATCTAGGCAAGACAGTGTTTTCTAATATATAAGTATGCTTTTTAACAGTGTACTATAAAATGCATAATTTTCATTCAAAAATTGGCAAATGTATAAACCTTGCGTAAATTTTTCTGTCGTTCATGTACCCATAGCAGCGGTGAACCACTCCTACTTCCAAGTACATCCTCCCTTTTAGTTTGCTATATAACAACATATGAAAACAACATAGGGCATTAAACTTGTCTCAGCTTGCAAGTCCACACAGCTTTCTCCATATGAGTTACTTAACTTTAAAGAATTTCTCTGGAGCATAAAATTGCACATAAGTGAAGCACATGATACATTCACATAGTGTTACAATCAGATGTACTTTGAAAGTGGTGAAGTCAGAATGGACTAATGGAAGCATCCCATATTTTACTATTACTGATCAGAAAAACACTTATTTTTAAATGAGGTAGACCTAGTAATCTGGGCTTGTTCTTGTATTTAACTATGTATCTAAGTGTCTTTGCTTGGCTGGAGAAATTGTGGTTAATAAATAACATTTATGTTTACATGTTAAAACAGAAGAGGTTCTACGTCTTACTAGCTACAGATTCTAACTAGGATCTTAATCTAGAATGATTTATTTCCATTTTTGTTTCTCCTCATAAGTCATAAATAATTCTGTTAATTGGAAGGGGCATAGACTATGCCCCTACAACATTATTCTTTTTCTGTCATGCCCTCCATGACATCTGAGACCTTTGGCAGACTCACAGAGACAGTCTGACTGAAATGTAATATACTGTTTGTTCAAAGCCTGCTCACATTTCCTTGTCGCTTTTACTAGCTGGAATACTCACTGAATTTAAAGAAGTTTTCCCAGCATTGAAAACTGGGAATTAATAATATTTTTTGCTGGTCTAATACAGATTTACACACACACATGCACATTCCAGGAAAGCAATTCACGCAGATCAGCAATTTATTGCCTATTACTACATATTTTCAACAACTATGAGCTAAACCTAGGCCCATCAGCCCATATTAGTAAGATTTTCCTTCCAGAAGAGGTACAAGAAAGTGGGGAAATTGCAGTGATATGAGCACCATTGGGATTGGGATCTCATAGGGAAAACATCAGTAGATCCCATCATGACTAATTGTTTTCAAATGTTAAATGGTGTTGGCAAAACACCAAAGGTGATAGCACTTTTTACTCTGCTAAGTGAAGTATTGTAAATGCTGCAAGGCTGCTGAAGAGTGAGAAAGCAGAAGGAGGCATGGCATTTTAGTGGAAGGAAAAGTCACAAAGTAAATGAGCTATTCTTAAAAGCAATCTTTTAGAACTAAGTGCTGGAGAATACCAGTGTTCTTTGCTGTAAGTAAAAAATCCCACACAGTATATCACAACTTGCAAAAATGTGTAGTTTCATGAACAACTAGCACTAATACTGAAGTGTTTTCTTTTACAGGAGTCTCGCAAATAATAATCTCCAGTCACTTCCAAAAGACATATTTAAAGGCTTGGATTCTTTAACAAATGTGTAAGAAAGCAATTAATTAATCTTTTAATTATACTAGACGTATAAAGAGATTATTTTAGAGGACATTCTGAGTAACCATTCAAATCAGTAGCCAGTAATGGATCTTATTACTGGGTAGAGACTACACAGTATAGGTAGGCTTGGTTTTTTTTACTTCTGCTGTTGAGAATTTGTGATAGTTTTAAATATTCCACCAGTTATGAAGATAAGTAATATTTTAGTAGTTATATAATAAAACTGCATGTTCATGTTCATTAAGATTTCTTGAATAAGAAGGGAGGATCCTTAGGGATGCATGAGAGAGCAAGGCATGCAAGGAAGGTGGAAGATATTTAATGGAGTAACATTTTAATGTGCAAGCAATTCCTGGGAAAGCTATCTTTTATCAATAAAGCATGTGTCTAAGTAAGTATCCCATACTAAATCTAATTGCAACCAGATCAAAACATCAGCTTGTTTATATATATATATATAAATGTATATCTATATAATACCAGTAAAAAGTACAAAATAGGGATTTACAGATAACGCTTATAATTGCCTCAGTGAAATAGGTCCTGTTTACAATATACCAAGTCCTGTTCCATCTGATCTCGGATAATAAGCTCAGAAAATGCTTTGCCTGCTCCCAGTATTAAGAAGGTAGGCTGAATCCCTGGAGCAGAGCTGCAGTAGTAAGATGTGGCCATGGCCAGTGTATCTGGAGCATTACTTGGCACGACTGATGGTGGCCAGGTGGTTGCACAGTCTGGTCCTGGCACTTGCCTGTTCCTGTGCATACGATGGGAAATCTGACTGAAGACAGCTGTAAAAGACTTGAACAGAACTCCTTTGCTTGTGTCTCCTGAAGCCCTAAATGAGTGTATCTGAAGGAGATAGTGAATACTGACTGGATGACCATCAGGTTACATTAATTCTGATTTTGGTATCTAGAATGCTCTTACTGAGAAAGGCTAATCCAAAGGAAACAGGGGCTGTTAGTTTGGGAGGTTTCTGTGTACCTGTAAACTTGGGGAAATCGATAAAAATTTCTGACTTATCACCAAGTTAAGGTCTCCTTGATTACCTTAATACAATGAAATCTGTGTGGGTTCTGGTATGTAGATTTAACTATGGGTCAGGACAAATCAAGTCAGGAAGGCCTCAAGTGCGAATAAGCAAGAGGGCACATATTTTAACAAAAGCCTGTTTTGTTGTTCTCAAGGAGAAATATATTTGCTGACTACTTGTTTTCAATGCATGATTTATTTGTTGTAGAGATCTTAGAGGCAATGCATTTAATTGTGACTGCAAACTGAAGTGGTTAGTGGAGTGGCTGGGCAGCACCAATGCAACTGTTGAAGACATTTACTGTGAAAGCCCACCAGAATATAAGAAGCGCAAAATCAATAGCCTCTCTCCAAAAGAGTTTGATTGCATTATTACAGGTAATGTGCCTCATATTATTTAATCTTGTTAAATTCAAAGCTATAGTTTTTCATTCTTGAGCCCACTTTTGCAGGAACGCTGCAAAAATTCTGGATGGAATTTCTATTAAAATCAAGATGAACTCTGCTGGTCTAAGTCTGACATGGGAATCATTTGGGAGCAGGGTCCTATATTTCAGTATCTACTCAAACTTTAAAATGTTACATAATGATTTGTAAAACTGGGACATAAAACAGTACCTCTTTTTTATTGAGAAAGATTGAAAACCAAATTGCAGTGCTCCTTTATCAACAGAAAATTTGGGATAGTGATGAAATACTGCAATTTGTAATAAATTGGTATCTGATATGCAGATTTTTTTTCCAGTATGGTATGTAAAGTGTCTCTATAATTATCATCTGTTACGTGCACTTTTGCAGAATTTGAAGTTTATCAGTCCCTGCCATACCAATCCCTGTCAGTAGATACTTTCTCATATATGAATGATGAACACGTGGTTATTGCTCAGCCTTTTACTGGAAAATGCATCTTTCTTGAATGGGACCATGTGGAAGTGATGTTCAGGAATTACGACAACATTACAGGTACGAACACTGCTTGACAAATAACATTACAACAAATTTTCCAAAAAGTGGTACTAACCCTGTCTTCTATTTTTCTTTTCATAGGTACTTCGACTGTTGTGTGTAAACCTATAGTTATTGAGAGTCAGCTGTATGTCATTGTCGCACAGCTGTTTGGAGGCTCCCACATATATAAAAGAGATATTTTTGCTAATAAGTTTATAAAAATTCAAGATATTGAAATCCTTAAAATCCGAAAACCCAATGACATTGAAACTTTCAGGATTGCTGAAGACTGGTATTTTGTTGTTGCAGACAGTTCAAAGGCTGGTTTCACCACGGTTTACAAGTGGAATGGGAATGGATTTTATTCCCATCAGTCTCTGCATGCCTGGTACAGAGATACTGATGTGGAGTATCTTGAAATATCTGGCAAACCACATTTAATTCTGTCAAGTAGTTCGCAAAGACCTGTAATATATCAATGGAACAAAGGAACAAATGAATTTGTTAAGCGGTTTGATATTCAAGATATGGAAGATGCATATGCAGTGAAGCATTTCAAAGTGAAAGAGGATGTATACATTTGCTTAACAAGATTTATTGGGGACTCTAAAGTAATGAAATGGGGTGGTTCAGCATTTCTGGATTTACAAAGGATGCCATCCCGAGGGTCAATGGTATTCCAACCACTTCAGATAAATAATTATCAATATGCCATTCTTGGAAGTGATTATTCTTTCACTCAAGTCTATTATTGGGATGCGGAAAAGGCAAAATTTGTGAAGTTTCAAGAATTAAACGTACAGGCACCAAGATCTTTCATACATGTCTCCATCGATAAACAAAGAGATTTTCTCTTTGCTTCAAGTTTTAAGGGAACTACATTGATTTATAAACATGTCATAGTTGACTTAAGCGCATGACACTCATAATTCTGAGATTACATCAGACTTTCTACCGTAAGTGGACAAAATGAACTAAATGCATGATGACTCTCTTATCTTACTTCCAAATGAATGCCTTTAAAAGTTGAGATTGCTAGAACAAAGTATTACTAGTATCTTCATCTTTAATTGTCAAGTCTAGTGGTGTTGGAAGTTGCATTTTTTAACAAAAAGAAATTAAATTAACTGTTCTTTGCATCCACAGTATGTAAATATATGTGCAACTGCATCTGTTGCTATAAAGAATATTAAGATGTACTTTTCTGTTTATTTATTCACCTGTTTGAAACAACTGCCAAATAAAATGTTTACATTTTGTGTCTTTCACATTCCAAATATTATTTGCAGGTGATACTTTTTATTTGTGTATATATTATACACATATAAAATAAAGCCAAGAAGGCATATTGCCCAATGCAGTGTTGTATTGCATAGAAGATGCACAATATTGAAGATCAGGTAGGTTTTACTAACAACAAGAAGTTCTTGATAAAAATACTGCATTGAAACACATGCCTATAAATTATCACCTGGGCAATCCTTGCACTTATGTAAAGCTTCACTGACTTAAACAGAACTCTAACCAGAAAAAGAATTCGGTTATCTAGATGTGCTTGTAGGATGAAGGGTTCAGTTATACACATCTAATTGTAGGATAGGCCTTTGTACTGTGTATAGCTGGATGTGATTTTCTAAAAATTTACAAAGAACCTGGCAGAATAAAAGACAAGACAAAGGTCTGTCTTTCTTCACCTGATGCTGAAGCAGCACAAAACAAATCTTTTGGACAGCACTGGGGCTGTTACTGTGCTCAAAGATAGAAGCAAAGCTTATTTTTCAACTAGCATTATTTCCATAGCTCAACTGTCACACATCACTTGCATGAATTCTGTGTCCTTCTCAAGTCTTTCCACTGTAATTGCAATTATTTAGTCTTCACTGAATTTATTCCTTATTCTGAATGAAGCTAGTGAATGGGAAGTAATTTTTTACCACTACCGTGCAATGAATCTTAGTATCTTAGTATTCTGAAATTCAGGGAACTTTGAATGTGGCAGGATAAACTCAGTTTGTATAGTGTATGCAACTCCAGGAGCTAACTATATCTGTTTAATCGTGCCAAATCTGAATATGGTATCAAAATCTATTACAAGCTCAAAGTTAAAATAGTCTTTTGTTTACATTCATCTAGTGCACCACATGAGAGAAACCTACACTGATGCTGAAGATGATTTGGTGCAGCTCAGGAAGAAAGCTCAAGTTTATTTTAGACACCTTTGCATTCTCTTACGTTTTCAAGCACTGTGCTTCAATGCCATCTTTAAAATATAGACATGAATATTGTGTTCATTTCTAGACATTTCTACCATTCACAGATGTTTACTGCTGAATAAAACTAATTGTACTGTGCATGTCAGCTAATCAAGAGCTGATTAATATATACTTAGGAAGCCAGTCCTAAACAGGATGCTTCTATAATAAAGAATGGAGGGGTTTTTTTAATATTTAATGCTATTTGAAAAGAAAAAAAATCTCACCTAAACAGTACTATTCTAATAAGTTAATTTTTCTGATGCCTTTTTATCCATAGCTGCATATGCTCTGCTAAGAATTTGGCTTAATAACTACCTATTCCATAAGTATTTACAATGTAAGTAGAAAGATTTTAAACTGTGTTTCACAGCTGAATCATCCCATTTTTTCTTTAAAAATACATTTCCAAAAATCATCTTAATAAATAATCTCGTTTGGTAGCTTCCTTTATATGTCAGACTATATTTCTTTTATATAGTTTTAGCCTTTACATGAGCATGATTTCAAACCACAGATGAATCCAAATAATATTTTTTATTATTTATCAATGTTGGCTGCACATCTATGATTGACAACTCAGTTTGTCCATTTCTTCTTCTGTGCCCTTTGCATGGGAAGGGAATTAATTACGAAGTCATGAACCCATCTCCAATCTACCAGCAAACCATTAAGTGTTTTCTATTTCTTCTTGTCTTCTGTTTCAGTCTTTTACTTAGGGTCCTATTGAATTATGTGCACCGGTTTTAATCTGATTTTTCCCATTATACTTGCCTACATGCACTCTCTATCGAATTATAAAGATAATGGCTGTGCATCCTTCTCATTATGAACATTATTATAAACATTAGGCTGAATTTAAGTGGAGTTGGAGAAACTTGCTAATCTGCTACCAACATTTATTTACAAACAACATATTGTCTCACACTGTGTACCTTTAAAAAGTTATGTTTCATGGAAATGTATTCAGAGCCAGCCAGCTATGCTGGCTAAGGCCTATGCTATCATAGTGCTATGATTGTTCTCCTGAGTTACCTCATTCTGAAATAATGTGACAGACTCACAGGAATTCCCTGTTACTCCTGGGTTTAAAGGAGGAATTTAAATGCCTGCAAGGGTGTGAGTCACTAGAATTTTACATTCACAGTACATATAAAACTAGCCATGGTACAGTGGAGGGTAGCAAGGGATCAATCTCTTGGAGAGTGCAACTGCAGTATCAGTTTGGTTGTTCCTTCAGAAAATTTTTTCCTGTAGTCAAGCACTAGTGATTTGGGAAGTTCTTAATGCCTATGTAATTTTTCAAAGGTCAGCTAATTACTATAAAATGCTGAATCAAAACCTGTTCTCTTTTAAAAATCCCTTTCTCCAGTCCGTTTATGTCAGGTGGAGACTCACAGGGACAACAGCCAGGTACTTATTGTGTGAGTATAGCATTTCTTTGTACCACATAAGGAACTGGGGTATTTTTAGAACAAAACTCATAACCCTTAACGTAGAAGAGTGTAAAGGCTCATTAGATGGCTCCCTGTGCTGTTTCTTCCTGATTTCAGAGACTGGGCATTTTAACAGCTCATCTGAGCATAAGGCTAAGGCCATATTCCGTCCTAGTTCTCTGCTCAGTACTCCTTCTAGTATCAGTGGAAGAGTCATAAAAAAACTAGAATAGAATCTTTTATCATATATACATTAATATCTTAAAAAATGCTGTTTTAAAAAGCCTATTTCTTTCAGCAAAATCTATGTTATTTGTGGCTGACTGGTTGTCTTCTGTAGTTGTAATGGATTTTCTAAACTCCCTAATTGTTTTGTTTATGACTGACAGAGTATGTAAGGTACTAAATGAATTACAGAAGACAGTATTGAAGGTTATTAATGGGTACTGCTGATCCTTGACGATGCTTAGTAATGTTAATGTCTAAGAAAAAAAGAACATCAATGGAATAATATTGTATTCCTACAACTACTTCATTATATTTTTAGTAGAGCACAAATATAAAAGAATATGCACCTCTCTACTTGGGAAGAGATATATAAAGTACATTCAGAATACCTGATACTATACCACGTGTAGCTTTTTTAAATTTTGTCTATTGCAGTGCCTAGGACTTGCAGGTTTTTTGTTTCTACTTATTTTTCATTGAAAAAATATTCCAAAATGCACTCTTCCTACTAAGAAGGAAATTCAGTAAGGAAATATCTTGTTGTGTAAGGTAACGAAACCAACAGAAATGTATTATTTGTTTGTATTTCATTTTAAGTATAACTTCTCCTAATTATTTTAATTTTTAAACTTTATTTGAAGGGGTTGTAACAGCCACTTGAAATACGCTTGAGGATGGGAAACAATTATTAGCATAGTTAATAACGTGTGATATGCTTTGAAATGTTCTAGTGGGAAGCTCACTAACAGCTGTATTTATGTATATAAGCATTAAAATATATTGTGTTAGCATTCAATGGAAAATAAAGAATATTTAAACTATAGAAGTAACAAAAAATCCTCAGACTGACAATAGCACCAAGAGAAAGCAGAGAAGTCAGCCCAGAATGTTACAACTGGGAAGAGAATATAAGCCCACAGCAAGTCTCAAGAGAGTGGAATTTTTCCCTTTCAAGGAAGTCTTTTCCTTTCCATGAAACATATAATGTGTTTCTCCTCAGTGGGGACCCCTGAAAATCCAGATAATCACTCAGTTCTTGTAAAATACAGTAAGAGGCTTACAAACTTAATGCACTACATCCGTGATCCTAAGACGTGGATTTTTTTCCCTTTTGACACCTCTCTGCTCCATCAGTGTCAGCCGTGGTGGCACAAAGGGAGTGGTGAGCAGCTACTGCCCACCAAAAGGCAGGGCCCTGCCAGGGCCAGACAGGAGTTAAGCCAGGTTCAGCAGATGGAAAATGCAAACCCAAGCACTCCATTCACTCAGCTCTTAATGCCTCCCTCACTGCCTAGCAGGTTTTCTCTCTGATTTGTTATACATATTGCCAACAGTTCTCACTACCTTTCATATGCCTGCAAGCCTTCCCCTCTCATTCTTGCTGATCTGGAGGCCTAAGTGTGGCAGCAAAGCTGTGATTTAGACTCCTATTGATTAGAGTGGCTGAATGTGTTTTTGTGGCTGGGGGCTCACCGATAAATGCCGAGGTCTTGAGGAGTTCAATTCCTCCAGAGCGATCTGTGGTACACTGCCTGACTTACTGCTAATGGCAACTTTTCTTCCTTACTGATGACTCTGAATTCTAATGGCTGGTGTTACAGGCATGTCTCTGTTTATAGTTCACTTAAACAAAGTGCTCAGAGGGAAACCTAACCCTATTTCTATTCAGGAATTTTCCTGAAATGAACTGTAACTACAAAGACCTCCAGTGTGCTATACAGAAGTGGTGTTGTACTTGTGCTTTGAGACTTTGAATCGCTCCAATTAGTTATGGTAGTGTAATACTTCTGTCTTCAAATTTGTTACAGTAGAAAGCAATTTGCCCCTAAATATGCATATTTATATTCATAGATAGAATTGTTTATTTATACTCCAAATAAACTAAAGTGGATGATGGCAATAATTATGTTACTGTTCCCAATCTCCCATTCATCAAATCCATTTCTGAATTCTCAAAAGTTGTTTTCAACTCAGCCTTACTTTATTCTTCCTACTGAATTATTTCAATTGAAAAAGGACTTTCTGACCCATTCTCACTTCCTGTTCGAAGGCCTGGATAGCGACAGCAGTATGTTAGCAAGTTGTCAACCTGCCCAGATGGTGAGCATCCAAAAATGCTGAAAGAGCTTCAGAATAAACAGGCTGATCTGCTAAGAATACATAGTCCTTCATTAAAAACCATTTCTTTGCAAAAGAACTAGAAGTAAAAAATATTAGATCTGTTTTCTAAAAGGTAAATGGGATAACCAGTGGCATTTCATACCAGTAAGATCCACATTTATCTGAAATTATAAATGAAAATGGAAGTGTAAAATTTCAGGAGAAATTAGGAAACTAAGCAAGTGGGACAGGCTGACTAGT